CGATATTTTTGCGCCCAGCTAGTTTTGATTTAAAAAAGATCAATTCGATGTACAGAGCTGGTTGTTCATGGAGTAGCCTACAGTAAACATCAGTATGAGCACAAATATACAAGATATAACGCTTTTACCTGCAGGTTGCAGTTTTTAAGATTGGTAGTTGGTCTGAGTGCGTATGGAAAATTACTGTCGAGCATTCAAAGTCCTAGATCTTGAAAATTTTCCAAGCGTAAAACATTCCAAAATTGAAAGAATGAAACCGCAGACATATGATTCTTATACACATTTCAAAGTTCGACATTTCAAATATTTTGGCTAGTTTTGAATCTTAAAAAAATTCTCATGATACCTGATCTTGCAAAATTTCTTCATGTTCTGAATATTTAATTTTAAGTGAAGCTTCCTGAATCCAGGATCATACTCTAAAAATCCAAGATCATACATTTTTTCCCAAATCTAGAATCTTGATTTTTTTTTCTGTGTACTGGATCTCGAAATGTTTTATGGAAAAATTTAATTCCATAATTTGCTCCATACTACTCTTGGAAATCTTCTGCATCATACTCTCTCAATTCAATCTGCAATGCTCTTTATATTATTAATAGATCTTGCAGTAGGATTAGTGATCCTATTCTCGGCTTATGGCCCTATTTTGGGCCTAATGCTAAAACTCAGTTTTAAATCACTTCGGCCTGATTTTTCTGCTGGAATAGAATATAATGAATTGCATAACACCATTAATAAATGAATATTAGTGACACGTTACTTCAATCCTGAGTTTTAGCGTTAGGCCCAAAATACGAGCATAGGCCGAGAATATGCAATTTCCCGAAAAATACTCCAAAAAAGTAGTTCTTCTCAGCACTCACTATGTCTTTTCTTGAAATGTTCATGGAAATACCATAGGAATGAATTTTTGGTTCTGCTCTGAATTTTTATTTACTTTTTGAAATTCCACTCATAATTTTCCTGGAACTTGGAACCGGTAAATCTTTGAAATACTGCTAGAGATTCCTTGAGATTTTTCCCAGGATATTGTTGGAACTATCCTCGGAATTAGAAATTCAATTTCTTTGGAAATTTTTTTGGAATGTCCTTAAAAATTTGCATTCAATTCTTTTGGAACATTCCTAAGAAATCCGTTGGAATTATTGTTAAGAAATTTTCGATGAAGTCACTTCAGAATTCAATTTTAATTTCTTTAAACAATTAACTCCTAAATTAACTACAAAGACTTAAAGACCCGAATAAACCAAAAAGGGTCTGTAATACAAAAAAAAAACTACAAAAAATTTAGATTTTCCTTAAAAATTGTTTGGCAAAAATTCCCATAGAATTATGCTCTGAATTATTTTTCTCCTAAAATCTTCTTAACATTATCCTCAGAACTACCATGGACATTTGCTCTGAATTACCTTGAAGTGCTCCTTAGAACAATCGTGAAATAATCCTCAGAATTTCCGTCAATATTTTCTCAAAATTCATTAGGAATTAACCTTAGTAATTCATATGAATTTTCGTTAAAGTTGCCGTTGCATCCTATTCATTATTTCCATGGAATTCTACTCAAAACTACACATGGAATCTGGAATTTCTCATATCTACCTTGAAAGCAGATTTCAGTTGATATTTTTCTCACAATCTTCCCACAACAGCCGTGGAATGAGTTCCTTAGAAATTTAAAATAAATTCTATGAGCCTTGAATAATAACGTTGATACTATCTTAAATAACAGAATATTGTATGTAGATTTGGTATTGGTAAATTCCAATCGCAAATCTACATTTTCAGAAAAATCTAGATCACCCAATTAATAATTAATATTATAACTGGTTTAAGACCCAAGCAACCCAAGATCCAAGTGGCCCTTCCCACCTAATCCACGCGAACTTCATATCAAAATCGCGTAAGTCGACTGAAATTTGTCCTGAGCCCAGAACGAATCAAAAAAATCCTATCTTCCGATGTTTACCGACGATAAAAACACTAGTAAACGGAATCATGATCAGTGTACATCTGAGCTCATGGATTATCATTTGTGTTACACACATCATGATCAGCAACAAAAACGATAATCCACTGATTTGATCACAATCGCTGTGTAATGTAACTCAAAATCTACGAACTTTCTGTCTTCGGAAAAGTTGTTCTGGAGATCAAATACCCTAAAATTTTGATATTTTTGGATCCGAATGACACGTAGATGTCAGCTAACAATGTCCGCCGCCATTTTGTTATCCCAGATTGCGGCCGTTGATTTCAGAAAAAAATGTCAAATACCCTACAATATGGGTATTTTTGGAAACTGGTTAACGTGTAGATGTCGAAAATCGATGTCCGCCACCATTTTGGAATCCAACTATTGATTTTAGAAAAAAAAAACTGTCATAGGAGAAATGGATGTAATGTCGGTCTAAATGCCCCCAATTTTGGCCTATACATAAATTCAGCAATCGACTAAATTTTCAATAGCGACCTAAAATATTAATAAGTACCGTCAGTTTTTTTTTATTCCTATATTGATGGTCACTATCTTGGATTTGAAAAATGGCAGCGGACATCAATTTTCGTCATCTTAACGTAACTCCTGTTCCAAAAATACCCTTATTGCAGGGTATATGACTGTTTTTCTGAAATCCATGGCCACCATCTTGGATTTCAAAATGGCGGCGGACATCGAGTTTTGATCTCTATACGTCATCCCCGTTCCGAAAAGACCCATATTATAGGGTATGTGACTTTTCTTGTCTTAAATGGGAAATTTTCAGTGACGAGAGTTGATGATGATGATCGGAGATGATCGCTATTTCATATGATCATGATCTGTAACACAAAAAGATAATCGCACTATCGTTTACAGAACTGTCCGTTGTGATTTTTGGGTTTGTAATGATCATGAAAGTAACCGAAAATGAGAAGGACATTATCTTTATCTAAATCGTAGCAAACAATGACCTAAGATATAGGATTTTAAAACTTTTTGCAGTGACATGTGAATTTTCATTTGGAAATTCCCAAATTCTGGCTCAAATCTTAAAAATTTCCAGGTTGTTAATATACAACAAAAAAATAAATTGAAAACTTGACTAACTGAGAAATTTTGGAAGTTATTTTTGGTAAAAATATATTCAAAAGCAAAACTACAGGAAGCATTATTCAAATCTGAATGTATAATTCAACTCAATAAGTAAATTGATTTATTCAAAATGTTTTCAAAGTCCCATAATTAACTGAGTAATAGAGTTGAAGATGCTAAGCGCGTCCAAAAATTTGTGCTTCAATAAATTGGGTATTTTGTAATCGTACAATTGAACATATTTGTAGTTCTGTGGCGAACGTTTCAGCTCAGTAGACCTAGTAAGAAAACAAAGGTCTCAAATGACATGATTCTATTGAACATATGTCAATTTTCATAGATAAGTTAGATTCGTTTTGGAAAATTTAGTGAACTTTTCCATTTAAAAATTGAAACGATAATTGCTAAAACGCTACAACTTCATAGGCAAGTATTGATTTAAAGACTTTCGGCTCCGTATAGTAGAAAAAGAAAAATCTATACCATTCCTGATAAATCTGAACATTCAAGAATCGGTTGGTTTTTCTTTCTATGAAGATCAAAAATTGGTTCGATATGGAAGGTGGAAGTCAGCAGTTAGCTAATTAATTTAAATGATAATGAAATCCGTAATATTGCAAAAGAATTGCTGAGCTCCTAAAGTGTGTTTTCGTTATGATCCAAAAACACTACAAGTACCATTTATATACAAAAAATCGCCAAACACCTAATGACGTTGGCACCGAGTATTCCGTGAGCTAAATGAAGCAACACACGGAGAATTTCTCTGCTAGAACTAATGTCTTGTTCGGTGAGAATCATACGGAACGGAAAAGCAAACCAACTATGCCGGTACCAATTCCTCTGGACGCTCAAGCATAATAAACAACACATAATAGCACAAAGCTCTTCTGCGAGATCGAGATCAGTTAGGTTCCTTTCACCAGCCTCTTCAGGGTAATCAACCCGAAAAATTACATGCTTCCATCGAATGCATAATACGTGTATTTGCTTGCCCAAGCAAAAGCAATAACCTCAGATTTCCCGTCAGCACATAGGGCAGAGCCACCCAAATTATTTTACCAAAACAACCGCCTCAGGCTCAAGCAGCCTCTGCTCGAAACAACTAATTTTGTAATCACCAACTCCCGTAATAATCATCATCCTCCTCACTTTCGACTATTACTTACACACCATCTCGGGCTTTCTCTCTCTCTGTCTATCTTCCCCATCGATCTTCGCATCCTCTGCTCTAAGCAACCAAGTAGAACCTCTTCAGCAAACTCGCACACGCAGCATTCCAATTCACCTGCCATCTCGCGTGTGCGATTCTTCAATATCTGCACCGTACGTAGCAGCTACTCTAGAAAACCACTCTCACTCTTGAAAGGCAATCGACCATTACCCTCTTATACCACCCCCGTTTCGCCCGTCCGTCTCGGCCGCACGCTGTTGATCGGGAAACAAGATCAACTCCACGCTCTCAACAGCTGGTCGTCAGCATCGAACAACATGAAAACCGCGAGAATACCGTTACCCCTTCGCATCGCTGCCGCCATCGAGTTTCGAGTTGAGTTCCTCGATCGCTCTCGCCACAAAACCATGCTGGTAGGTGATGATACGGTGGCTCTCCGGTCCAACAGTGCAGTGCAGCGCGGCGAGCTTAGGTCCGAAAGAGCTTTTCCATCCTGCTGATGTACCACCGTAGCGCCCGTGTGTTGGATTGCGGACGGGGGTCCGCGATCGAAGGCCTCGGAGAGCCACGCGCCAGCCAACCTCGGCCAGTAAGTCACCGACGGTGGCCAGGGAAGGTTCGAATCTGAGCTTTGCAGTAGAACTTGTAAGAGTCGGGACGTTTGCTTACATTGTTTTATCGGAGCTGCTACTTGAACGCGTCGCGTCCCAAGGATTTGTGCAATCGGTCTGTGCAATTGAATAGGTGGATTTATTTTTTTTTGAGTGCGAATCACGATCGAGTGCGCGGGCGTCCGTATGTATGCTGACCGTGCCCGAGGTATTGGCAAGTGCGTGCGAATTATCGAATTGTTGCAATCTTAAGGCGAGAATTGTGAGGATGTTTGGAGCAATCTTCCGCGGAGGATTGTGAGGAGTTGCAGTAGTCGCCGAGACCGAGAGTGAATGAAGAAGGGTTGAAACATGTGTAATGAAGTAGTGTTGCATTAATCAAGAAGAAACGTGTGTCTGTACGAGGGGGTGTCGATTTGAAGATAATTAAGATAATTAAGTCAATCAAATCGTAAAATCCAATAATAACAGCCGAGTAGTAGCGAGAGGAAAGAAATATAGCAAATGATTAGCCTGTGCTGTATGACGAAGACGACGAGGGTGAATTGCAGTTTGTAGTGAAGAGCATAGTGTGCATGCATTGGTAGTTCTTTTTTTGGTTTCTGGGAATCTGAAGAAATAGACAGCTTTTGGATTGGAACCAACTACGAGACGCGAGCTTGGACACACAAAAGGAGGACACATATCGTCGCTTTCGCAGCTACCCAGGCATTCCGTGTGCGCGGAATGGGCCACCCAGCAGAGGTGATGGCCACCGGTGTGATCATAGGTGAGCAAATGAGGAACGACAATTATATTGGTGATGCTTGGAGCGTGTGAGATTTTTTTTTCTCAGGGGGGAAATTTTCTGTTCGACCTGCATTTCTTGTGGAGAGTTGCTTGGATTATGGGAATGCGGGGGGAGGGGGGAGGGTGATTTATTTTTGAAGGTCGATGCACTTAGGCAGGTGGTGTGTCAGTAATGTGGCATCCATAAAAGTGCATTCTTAAGCAATTATTGTGTTGAAAGAAGGAGCATTAGTGCGATGAACATCGAGAATGATGAATTAATCAAGAAATCTACGCATGAAAATTCAGTTTCAGTTTTCGCTTTACAATAACGTAAATAAATTAATGCATTCGAATATTTGAAGTATTATAAATTTACAAATAAATAAACATAGTGTTGATTTCCTTCTAAGAGTGTTTTACGTTCAACTTAGAGATGTTTAATGAATAATCAATCGTCTATTTTTTTAAGGTTTCCTGTAGCTTAGGAAAATTGCTCTCCTAAACCAAAACTTCTATTACTGATTTAATATGTTAGCCTACATTTAGAAGGTCTAGGGTAGTTGAACGATTTCTCTTTTTTATAGAATTCTATAGGCTGAAAATATTAAAAATAGTACTCAGGAGTTTTCTCTATGCATTAGATTTTAAAACATAAAAATCAACAAAGCTTTGAAATGTAATGGAAAAATTGCATTCGAATAATTCGAAAATTACTTTTTTAAATTGAAGCAATAAATTTAAAAGTTGCACCATGAAATAAAATATTGCAATGTAAAACAATTTTTCCAACTATAAAACTTTAGTAATTGGAAAATAATTGAAAAATCTTTTTAAATATTATTAGGAAGGGGCAACATAAAATATAATTATTTCCCTAAAAATTTAACAAGTGGCCAAATGAACATTAAATATCTCAATCCAAGCCTCCACTACTCTGGAGAGCAAATATTGGTGATCCACCAAACAAACGTGTCGGTTATTTCATGTGTAAGGTAGAGAACTTCTTCGGCCTAAGCACCTAGTTTGTACCTATCGAGTAGAAAACATCAAATAAATCCATGATTTCAGAGTTAACAAGTCAATTATATATTTGGTACGATACTTTAGTTCAAAAGCTACCGAACGAAGTCAATGAGAACGCGTGGTACGAACAAAAACAACATAAGCGCTCCGATCGAATTAATTTTTATCTTCATCCGATAGGCCGAAGTGAATTCAAAGGCGTATGAATGGCGTTTGAATCCGTTAGACCGAATTTAGAATCCGTAGGCCGAGTTTGGGGTCAAGAAGCAGTGTTACATGTTTAACAATATCTCAACAATTTGATTCTTTTAGACAAATCTTACGGTACGTACGGAAAGGTTGATAAATTTAGAAGTCATCTGGAGTGAAAACATTCCATTTCGTGAAAAAAAATCCAATAGAGGCAAAGGACGAGTTGTGCTTAGTAAGCCCAAAATCAGCTCAAAAAATAAGCCCTATAGCTCAAAAAATTCTTTGAAGAATTTTAAGATAGTTTGAATATAGCTTCAGGAGAATTCCTAATAGAATTCATAAGAATTTTGGGGAATTTCAAGGGGTTTCCGGAAGGGTTTTGGCAATAGTTTTGTATTTCCAAAGAAACTGTGAGTGCTCCATTTATTTTATAAAAAAAAACCTAATTAAAAAAGCATACAGAGATTTCTAAATTTTTTTTTTGATATTTTAGTTGCACAAGCCAGAAGCTGTGAAATAAATTACTAAATCGCATAAAAGGTTAATTGAGGGGGTTAGAAGGAAAGGGGTTCAAGTGACAATTTTGAAACACATGAGTAAATGGCATTTGTAGGCACTTTAAGAAACATTTTGCAAACTGCATTTATATTTGTAAACACTTCAAGAGGGAGAGGACGATTTTGATTAGTGTCTAAGGCTAATATTATTTTACAATAGTGGCCATTTATGTTTGTCACTTGCAACCCTTTCCTTCTGACTCTCTTAATTCTTACTACTACTTTGAGATGAGCATAAACGGATGTAGGTCATTGGACATAAAGTCGTTTGGCATAATGTTGTTCGGAATAATTGTTGTTTGACATGATGGCCGTTTGGCATAGTAGGGGAATTTACGTATTCTCGTCAATCTAAGCAGCGTCTGCACTTCTACTAGCATTTTCTCAGCGTCACGCACATATATGATGTGTCTGTTTGTTTACATTCAACTGCTGCTTGCTTCTCTATCCATTCCAATCGACAGAATTTTTCAAAACGTTTTGAAAGCGTTTTTACAACGCTCCAAACTTCTCAGGTGAGTGTGACTATTGTCGGTAGCCTCTTTTTCTTCGGCAACCTTCCCATTAGAACTGCGTGTTAACCAGCTGTTCTATTATCGGCAACTCGAAATCAACCCCATTTTGTAGTGCGTATGCTTTATTTGAAGAAAAATGTAGCATTACTGGATTGCTCGATCGTTCAAATATAATCAGATTGAAGCTGAAAGGCTAAACAATCGTTTGGACACATTCAGGAAAGTGCGTTGATGGGAAAACATAGTGAAATTAACGTTTAAATTTAGGTTGCCGAAAACAGTCAATGGGTGCCGAAGCCAACATTTACCCTATAAGAAATAAAAAAAAATCAACAAATTATAAAGGTTACAGTCATGAAGATTGATCCTATTTTGCAATACTTGCGGTTAAATTTTCCTGTTCTATGCACGTGTTACATTTTTTTTAGTTTTAAAATGATCCAAGGATTAAATTAATGCTATTGTGTAGTCCAGGCCTGCCCAACCTTTCTAAACATGCTTTTTAAAATGGCTGTATCTATGTTCGATGAACACTCATTCTGGGCTAAAATTCAAAATGATGCATAAAATTGAAATTTTTGCTGAGATCCAGATACCACGTCCGGCTCACGGGCCGCACGTTGGGTTGTGCTAGTGTAGTCCAACTGAAAATGATCAAAGGCCTTTTCCCTCTCTTACAGTTGACCCCTTCTCATTGGCGTAGCTAGAAAATTTATCTGTGGCCTAGGGGGGCCTGTTGCATTTTTTTTTGCTAAACTAAAGTTAAATAAAAAATCGCGAGATGCTATTCCATCAAATTGCGTCAAGGCAACTTGTTTTTGGGAACATTTTTTCTGTGACCAATAATATGACATTGAGGTTATTATTTTTTAATGATGAGACAATAAATTAGATTACATTTATTTCATAACAACGATTGGGACCTCGGTTGGAGGAGCCTTAAAAGCTTACTGATTTTGAAGAAGCAATGATCGTTTGTTCATGCTGTTTGTAATGAAATCACATAGCGTTTGGATGTCGAAAATTTAAGTATTTCAATCTTAAGAAAATGGTCAGAGTTAGGTAATGAATTTTGAAACCTTTTTTTTTAGATTTTGAATATTGCATCATCAGTTAAATCTCAGACAAATGTGCACACAGAATAAAATTTATAAATTAAGGACTTAGAAAAATGTTCAAGATATATGTCCATACACAATTCTTAACATTCTGAATGTTTAAACAAAAATAGTTTTGAGAACCCATACCCATATGTTTTCAACTAAAAAAAATAGATATATCTGATACAGATTGTAAGTATAATTTCTTAGAATACAAATGTAAATAAAAATAATCGAAATAGGATCAATTGTCATAATTCTGTGACTAAGATAAAATTGCAAGATCCTTTCTAGACAGTAATTTCATAAAAAATTATTTCAAAATAAATTTTAGGGATTAAAAAAATAATAATGCAGGCTTGGACAAGCTTTGAATCTCCTAGTCTTCGAAATTCGAAAATCAAGATCTTGGGAAACTTACCTAGATCCTGATATTTACAGCATTTTCGAGAGGAAAATTTTTAAGAATGTTAGAAAAAATTAAGATTTAAAAATTTCGAAAAATCTTGACATGTGTGAATTCTTGGCAAAATGTCCAGATAACTTTACTAATATCATCGCCTATATGGAGATCTTTTGCTGTCTATGTAGGATGTCTGAAAGAATATCCTGTAACTTATGCAACATTTCCTGAGCAACTACAAAACTGCCTTCTACGATGTTCCCTGAATTTATTCATAATTCCATATTTTTCCAAACTCTATTAATTCTACGAAGATCTCTGAACATCGTTGCACTTCTGGAAAGACACCTATCATCTACAAATATTCTTGAACATCTGGAAAGTTCTTTGAAATTTAACGATGTTCACAAAACTTCCAAGAAGATCATGAAGCTTTTTTGAAGTAAGATTACTAACAAACTGCAATGAACTTCCATTTAATTCCACTACCATAATTGTAGACAAATTGTGCGAATCTGTCAACGATACGCCATTGCGATATAGTGCAATAAAAGAGAAATTACATAAATAAGTATTCCACTGTAGATGCCAAACTTCATAAGAAAGGATGTTTCAAAGCAGGTTTCATCTTCAAAATATGTGTTTTAGTTTAAGGGTCCTGTACACCACCGGAGGTACAAAGATTTCCATCCTGGGCGGCTACTCGCTTTTGCCTTGACCTGGGCCTAGGTCAGATTCCTATCGACTTGCTTTATTTCCTTGTGGAGGCTCCGCCACCATGAGCCCCTGGGTCTGCCTCTGCTGCGATGTCCTGCCGGATTCCAATCCACCGCTTGCTTGCAGATTTCGTTTCCGCCCCGTCGAAGGTCGACCTACCTCCACTTTCGCTTCTGTTGCTATCGGCTTCTGATGACATCGAAGATGGAGCTCGGCATTCGAGATCCAGTTGTGAGGCCACCAGGCACGAATTATATACCGGTTGACGAAGACCTGCAGCTTCTAAGTGTTCTCCGCTGATACACACCACGTATCGCTGGCGTATAACAACACTGATTTAACGTTCGTGTTGAAAATTCGGATTTTGGTGCGTTGACTTATCTGGTTTGATCTCCATACGTTTCGTTAACTCGCACTTGATTCGTGCACCTATGTCGCTCTTAGTCCCGCCGTCCGACGCTATTTGACTGCCAAGATATTGGAAACTTTCG